TTCAGTTTAAACTGCATTAACATTTTCTGCATCACTTTCTATAGTGTTTACTGGTTTTTGAGATATAAATGCTCACACTGAAAATTTAACAACTGGCTTTTGTGATCTGGTTACAGCTGACTCCAGCACATCCATGGTTATGCCACAGTGTGGCCAGTCTTCCCAGACTCCACTGGGTAACACAGGGAGTGTGACCATCCCTTGGCTTAATTCTGCCCCTCACTCTGGATGCTGGAAGCCTCATTGGAATGATCACTGCTCAGCATAAGTCACCAGAATCTGGCTGACTGATGATTCCACAGTCTAGGGCTGTGGCCTCACTCATATAGTTTGTTTGTTTCTGTTATTTATGAGCTTATGAGAGTTATTAATAAAATCCATACCATGTGATTCTCTCTCAGTTGGCACAGTCCCCACTTGGTGGGGCTTATGGGGTGGAGAAGAACGTCCCTGATAGTCAGATGAGAATGTTCATTCTCTCTGCCCTCATGTCTATATCACAAGCTACTGACTGGCTTCCTCCATCCCAACCTTTCTTCATGCAATCAATGAACAGATAGGAATCACCAAGAAGTTATGGCTGATTGTAGCTTTATGTACTGAGCACACTGTTTAGGCTCACTCTCCCAAGAGCCAGTCAGCTACATCTCCCCCTTTGGGTTCTGGGAGTACCCCTTAGGAATCTGAGCCTTTTCTACTGCCATTGGTTTAAACCCCTTTCTCAGATGTGTTCCTACCACTGTTAGATGCGAGTCAGTTACATTTAATGAATTAACAAAGCAATATTTACTTCAAAGATACAATAAGAATAGAAGTACAAACAATTTGTCCCCCTTTCCCCACCCCTTACCACTGTAGGGGGGCATACTTTCCCCTACACCCCCTCAGTCCCCGGGTAGAGTGTGCTCAGACTCAGTACAGCTCCAACATGGCACTGGTCCTACCAAGTTTACATCTAAATGTGGCATTGTGCCCGATGAGTCACCAGGATGGTGGAAGGCCAAAAGTCCCTCCCAGGATGAGAAGAAAATACTATCTGTTCAGGGCTACAATTCCCAGAATTCATAGTTAGGTTTCAGAGTCTTTCCCTGCCTATAGGGAAAGTCTAACTACCCAGTTACATTAGCATTTAAAAGATGGGCTTGGAGTCAATGAAGAAGGCTTACAATTTCCTGAAGAAAACCCAGCTCACTTTTTCTTCTATTCAACTTGGGGCCCAAGTCAATGTCTTTCTGTACTGTCAGTCACATATCTGCATATGGATGGACAAGCTCCAGAGGGCATCCATCTGAATGCATGTTAAGACCTGGATGACAGACTTCATCTTTATCCACTTGGTCTTTCCTGTGCAGATGGCCAAGCCAAACTCCTTTAAGGGATTCTAGAGCCCTTTCAGGAAGTTCTGCAGGGGCTTAATGCACTCAACACAACGTTATCTACAAAAAGGAGTATCTAGGAGACCCTCTGCAACATGGATTCCTTAGGGTGGATCTCCTCCAGCAGAGAAGCTCACTCATTGAATAGGGTTATGTTCTCTCTTCTAAGGAATCATAAACACTTTTGACAAACAGATGGCAGAAACCTTGTTGTAAAAGAGCCTGCAGGTATCATTTCATTCTATTAAATCAAATGGGTTTTTTCATAATCAAAAAACAATGAACATGTTGGAATCTTGTAGTCTCTACATCTTTCAGTTAATTACAAAATGGTACAGATGTGGTTAAATATCACTTACAAAAACCTGTTTAATTTTAATAGATTTCTTCCTTTAACTTTGTTTAGAAAAGCAGCTTGACAGCCTCAGGGTACAGAAGAAGCAGGTTCAAGTCCTGCTTCTGACATACTAGCTATGTAACCATGAACAAGTTCTTTAACTGCTCAGTACCCCTCCCAGTTCTAGAAGACACTCGGTTCCAGATCAATAGCTCCATCTACATTTTTGGAAGGAGTAGCCATACCGAACACACTTAACACCAATTAAGCCAAGGGGCCAGAAAAACCAAGTCAGACCAAAAGCCTCCCATCATTTATGATTCTGACTTAGCCCTAAATAAGCAATAAGTGTCAGAGTATGTTCATTTAAATAGACGATGTGTCTGTTACTGCACTGAATGAAAAGTTCCCATAATCTCTTAAGAAAGGCACCTCTGGTAGAACGAGCCAATCACCAGTATGTATTAAGCACCAAATATGTCGTGCGCTATGCTAATTTCTGGGGATACAAAAATAAAAATCTCTTCCCTCAAGCAGCTTAAATTCTCTAGGGGGAGACAACATACACACTCAGATGTATACACAAAAATAATCACATGCAAAACACCTACAAAATAAATATGAGATAATTTTCTGGGAGGAGGTCCTAGTAGCTAGGAGATGAGGAGGTGGGGATGGAGCTGAGCTCTTGAAGGAATCTAAGGATGCTAAGAGGTAGAGGGATGAAGGGCATGCATCCCACGTCTAGGGGGACAGAGGCACAGAGAAAGCCAGTTTGGTTGGATTAAAGAGGACTTGATGAAGAATAATGTATAATAAGTCTGGAGAGGTAGGTTGGAGCTGGCTTGTAAAGGGCTTTAAAAGTCAAATAGAGGAATGTGTATTTGATCCTGGAGGTATTAGGGAACTAGTAGATTTATTTACAGAGCACGGGTAGGACATGGTAGGACCTGCAGCTTAGGAATATGACTTTGGCAGCTGTACTGAAAACGAATAGGAAAGGGGTCTTAGGGTGTTGTCAAAAATGCAGTGGTAGCTGCCTTCGCTGCACAGCCGTTTTCTCTCTCATCTGCCCTAGAACTCAGTCCAATACACAACACTTTCCATATAGACACATACAACACTGAGGAACATGAAAATTAGCACAAAGGGAAAGCCACCTAGGTAGCCAGCTTCCACAGGCCTCGGTGTTTGGCCCCAACATCTTACCCAATCCTCTTTATCTACCTTCTTCCACCATCATTATCTCTCCAGCCAGTGTATACATAAAGGCCAGTTTAAGGAACACCAGCCAAGCGCCTCCCTGCCTTTTTCATACTATCTATGGGCAGCCAGAGAGCGGGAGAGGCTGATGCCCTCATTGAGGTCACTGGCAGCAGCAGCAGCAGCTGTTGCCTTCCCACCCTCACTGCCCTCCCTGATTGTGGTAATGACTACATTATTCTAATTCTGAATCCTTCTGGAGGGGATTGGCCAAATGGTTTTCATCAATATGTCTCTACCTCTCCAAGAAGCCTCAATTAAAGTAGCTGCTAAAAATAAACCAAAACACTTACTAGAATGAGAGCAGTTAAGACTAAAGAGACATTTAAATGGAGAGAATCAAAGGGCTGGGAGAAATCTTCGGAAGTCACCCTGCCTTTATAGAGTAATTAAAACATTCCGGGTAATAAAGCCTTCAAAGAAGGAGTTTAGACAACTTCCTCCATGAGCTTTAACTTAAAACCCCCTTAAGTACTTTCTAATATCAAATCTAAGGAGATGCAATTAAAATTCTTTGTAGTTCTATGCTCTTTAGAAATACAGAACACTATTATCCATAGGATAGACCCTAAACTATTATTGAGATAATGGTTGGGTGATTTCTGTGCCTTCCGCACCCCCAGCCTAAATAATGCCACTTTCTTTAACTTTTCATGATTAATTTTTATAAGAAAGTTTTCATCATTATCTGCTGGACCGATACCAAACCCTCTATAGCTCCCTGAGGAGAGGAACGGAAACCTAAACAGAATATACGCAAGTACGCGCTTGTCTACTGCCAAGGAGGGCACTCTGAAGAACCTGGGGGCAACTAGCTACTATCATCTTATTTATACCCTGGTCTGTTCCATTCACCTTTTTTTTTTTTTAACAACAGTGCTCCATTGTTGAATCGTATTCTCTAGTCAACAATGTCTTAAACCTGTTTCTATTGTGTTCACAGAAATCCTTTCCATACTTTGTAATTTGTGCCCCCCCATTCTTAAAAAAAAAGAAACTGCCAAAGAAAAGCCAATTGTTTAAGAATACGTTAGTTGGTGAGGCACCAGCCTGCTTTCTACATCGCTGACAATCGGAAATGCAGTTACTTTTCCTCTCAATTTTTCTTCTTTCTGAAACAGGCTTCTTTCTTCTTTGTCTTGATAAATAGTGACCACCAGAGGGCACTTACACTGATGAATACTGAACATATGGGAAAATTACTCACTCTGGGCCTGTCTGCACTGCTGAATTCGCACGGGAAAATCATAAATGCCCAAAATAGTGTGGCTTTTGGAAACTGCCAAAATCTACAGAGATTTCACTATAACTGATGATAAAACAATTTGATAGTACTAGTAATTTTCTACCGCCAGTTTTCAAAGAGCACGTAATAGCAAGGTGGAAATAATTAAGTGTGATTTTTTTTCCCCAAAAAGAATCATTTTGCGGTAAAGAGATGGCCTAAGTAATCCTTGTACTTCTTCTTGGCCTTTGTTTTGTCGCTAGAAATGAGAGTTGCCAGGTTTATACTGCTTTACGATTTGCCAACAGCTTTCTTCATCATAACCCTTTTAGGCAAGTAGTGAAACTATTATTATCTCCATTTTAGAGATGAAGAAACTGAGGCTCAAAGGCATGTGATGAGTTGGCCAACATCACAAGGGCTAGTATCAGGTCTCCTGATTCCAAAGCCAAAGCTCTTTCCCTTCAGCACACTGATACAACAGCTAGAGCTCTAGAATTAGAGTGGAGAAGACCTGGGGTCACACCCTCCCTAAGATACTTATTAACTATGTGGTCCTGGGCAGTCACTGAGCCTCTGTGTGCCAGTCTCCTCACCTGTAAAATGGGTAAGATGGTATCTACCCCACAGGGTTGTTGTGAGGACTAAATAAGATGATGTTTAGAGTGCAAGCCTTCAACTGTTATCTAAATGCTCATTATTATTCCTAATCAAGTTTCTAATTGATCAAATTACTTTAAACAAAAAAAAGGTAAAAGATAGCATTATAAAATGTACTCCCAAAATATGCTTCACTCACCTACAAAATGGGCTGGGAACAGTGGGTATCACATAACAAATCCCCCCATTCAGGCAAAATGACCTATGACTAGGGCCACAGGGCTCTTCATGATCTAGAAAAGAAACAAATACAGAACACAGAAAGGCAATTAAGACATTTTGGGTATATAGAGAGAGAATTATATTTTTCTTAACACAATGGTAAAAAGCAATCCATTTCTTAGATTTAAGCATTTAACCTATCAACAAGCATTTAAGAGCCTACTATGTGCCAGGCATTATGCGAAGGCATTGGGATATACCAAGACAAAAATGAACCAGTCCTTGCCTTCAAGGAGCTTACACTCTATCAGGAGAAAGAGTGAGCTGAGAGAAAGAGATAGATGTGAGATACATTGTGGATGTGCAATTGAAAACTGCTCAGATTTCTGCAGTGAGGGAGAGTAAGGAGTTGGGGACAGGTCCAGGTTTGTGAACTTGGTGGTACCCTTAAGAGCAATAAGTAAGAGGGAACAGTTTTGGGGAAAAGATAATGAGCTTTGTTCTGGATATGTCATGTTTGAGATGTCCATGGGGCATCCAGTTGGAGATGCCCTATAGGATGCAGGTGATATGGGACTAGGTCCCAGGAAAGTGACTAGGGCCACATAGATCTGAGAGTCATCTGCATAAAGATAATTATGGAATCTTTGGAAGCTGATAAGGTAAGAAAGAAGCCTAAAAGAGAAGAGAAGGTCCAAGACAGAGCCTTGGGGGACACCCCCAGTTAGGATGCATCTATGAAATGGATGATGACGTAAGAGAGAGCAGCATCCTGAAAACCCAGACAGGAGGGAGCATGAAGAAGCTTAGGTTAACAGTGTCATATCCAGGAGAGGACAAGGAGAATGAACATGGAGAAAAGGCCATAGGATTTGGCAATTAAGGCATCAGTGGCAACTTTGGAGAGGGCAGTTTCAGTTCATCAGTGATGTGGGAAGCCAGACTGGGAGTGAGGAGAGAGAGCGGAGACATTATCTACAGATGGCTTCTCCTAGGAATTGGCCAGGAAAGACAGGACGGACACTGGGTTATAGCTTACTTCACTCCCTCTCCTCTCGCTCAACTCAGCACAATCCACTTCTGGCCTCGGCATAAAATTTTTCTCTCCCAAAGTTTCCAGTGATCTCTTAGTTGCCAAATCAGATGATCTTTTCTCTTTCCTACATTTCTCAACCTCTCTGCCACCTTTGTTTCTGTTAAGTACCCCTTCTGCCTGGATATCCTCTTCTCTCTAGAATTTCATGACATTTCTCTCTTGCTTCTCCTACATCCTAACTTAGTATCCACACTGCCTCCCCTGCCAACTGTGAGTTCTGGCCTGGGCCCCCTTCTCTCTCCAGTTTTTCTGCTTAGTGACCTCATCAGCTCCCCAGGGTCAGTTACCTCCACACAGATGACTCCCAGATCTACATTTCCAGCATTATTTTCCCCCTTAGGCTCCAGTCGCATATTGGACATTTTGAATTGGATATCCTGTAGGCATTTCAAATTCAACATGACTGAAATAGGAAACAGAATTCATTCATTCTCCCTAACTCCCCACAGATCAACCCCCAATCTGAATTTTCCTATTTCTCAAGGCACCACAATCCTTGCAGTCTTGGAAATCTCGCTCCCCCTCACCACATATATCCGAACTGTCGCCAAGCTTTGCCAGGTTTACGTCAACAATGTATCTCCCATCCATCCCCTTCTCTTCACTCATAAGACCCTGATTCAGTCCCTCATCACCTTTCATGTGGGCTACTGCAAAAGCCTACTTCCTAACCACTGTTCCTGCCTCAAGCCTTTCCCTTCTCAATCCATTGTTCACACAGACACCAGTTCTATCCTAAAGTGCGTTTCTGATCATGTCACTCTCCTGCTCAATAAATTCCAGGACACCCTATTTTCTCTAGGATGACATACCAACTCTGCTGTCATTTAAAGCCTTCATGGCCGGGTTCCAACATACTTTTGCAAGCTTGTTATATTGGCTGTCCCAAAAGTTTGAGTGCAGCTTTAAACTTTAATAACAAAACCATACTAAAACATTGGGAACATCCTGTGTGTTACACCTTCTATAGTCCAGCCAGGCTTTCTGTTCTTCACACTTGACACTCAATCTCCCACCTTTGTGCCCATGCATAGAATACACTGCTCTGTCTCTTCAGAATTTGTAGCTTTTTTTTTTTTTTGGCTAGGCAATGGGGTTAAGTGACTTGCCCAGGGTCACACAGCTAGTAAGTGTTATGTGTCTGAAGTCAGATTGAACTCAGGTCCTCCTGACTCCTGGGCTGGTGCTCTATCCACTGTGCCACTTAGCTGCCCCTGTAACTTCTTTCAAAGCTCAGCTCAAATACTTTCTCCTTCCTACATGAGGCTTTTCCTGATCTCCAGCTCCTCACACCCCCTGGGAAATTAACTTGAGTTTATTTTGGTGTATCTATTGTTTCTCCTGATAGAATGGAAGCTCCTTGAAGGTAAGGACTGTTTCACTTTGAGATTTGTATCTTTACTGCCAAACCCAGCACCCAGCACATAACAGTATTTAATAAATACTTATTGATGAATTGACTGATTTATAATTCTTTATTATGAAAATTAATGATAATTATTTATATTAATTATAATAATTTATAATTATCATTCAGGGCAAAACCTTCCAGGTTTTGAAAAGTGGATGACCTTTGGTGGAAAATTAAATTAAAAGTCAAATACAAAAAAGTCCTAGACTTAGGCACTGAGAAGAATCTGGTTCATTATATTATGAATCCAAAGGGGTAAAAATATAAGGAGAAAATAGCTGTCAGTTCAGCAATTCCACAAAGTATATGTTACCTGGTTGCCCAAAATTAAAAGCCAGAAGAGGAGAAGCTAAATGAGCAAGTTTATTTTTAAACAAAGATATCATATTCTCTTAAGCAAATTCTTAATTGAATGTTTTTAACAACCCAAAGAGGTAGCTGAAAAGTTGCATAGTAAAGGTAACATTAATTTAGAATCCTAGGAGCCAAATCCTGTAAGTATTCCAACGAGGGTGGGACATAACTACATATAACTTCTCAGACAAAATCTGCATCTTTGTTTTTCCTAGATCACAACCAGACATGTCTGAACACCGAATATTTTCCCAACAAAGAAAACTGATCTAACCTGAATCACTATCTCTGAATCTATTTTTATTCTAATTTCATTAGTCTGTTGATTAGGAAGCTGGTATCAGAGATAGAATAAATTAGAAGTTACTTTTATGAGTAAACCCAATAAAATATCTAAGTCTCAAATATTCCTATTATACCTAGGATTATTTTGTAAACCTTCAATATTCCAGCTATTGCAACCAACTTCAGATTAAGGTGGCTTTTCATTTCGAGAAAAATGTTTTTAGTTTTATAAATATACCAAATGCTTATAGAAACATTTTATACATTTGATTTAAAAAAAATAAACTTACAAGAAATTACCTGTTGGCATCTTATTTTGAAAGTGGTATCATTCCTGGTCAGAAGGTTAGGGTTTAAAAACAGCACCTGAAAAATGTTCAAATTTCAGCATCTTCCTTCCACAGGGTGATAAGATGGACAATGCATTAAAATCACCCCTTAAAAGCTAATTCATGCAAAATAACTAGCCCATTTGTATTTATAATGTCATTAGTAATTAGATGGATTGAATAGCATATATTAAGCACCAAGCAATACAGCTCACTGAACAGGGAAACAAAAGAAATGTGCTTTTATGAACTAATTCTACTGACCTGACAAGTTGAACTATTGCTTAGCTAAAAAGAATTCCTCTTTGAAGAGATTTGGGAAAGTATTTAGCACTTTCGATAGCAAAAACATATGGAATTATACCAATACTTTGCTTTCCTTGCTAAAATCCAAACGTTTAGAGTCTGTTTGCTTTCTTATGAACAATTTAATTTGACTTTCTATGTTCTACTAGAAGGGTCAATTTTTTATTTTTAAAATATATTTCTTAACTTTTCTACTTTACTGCAAAGGGAACTTTTCACAGCCCACTTAAGACTCAGGTCTTATGATTCCAACCAAGTCCTATTGGGGGAAAAAAACAAACCTGTCTCACCAGCCCACATATATGCTTTCTTTTAAAACTTTTTTGATATCTAGTAAAGCAAAGTCCCTAACGAGAAAGCCCAGCCGAGACAGGCTTACACACAAACCGAGTCACTGAGAGGCACATTTGAAATGGTTGTCTGTACTTACATTAGGAACCTTAGCGGTCAATTCTATTTGGTAAGGGGGGGTTCCCGTCTTTGCGTTCCTTGCTAGGGCTTAAAACAACTGTGAGTCAACAGCTCCAGTCCTGACACAGGTGGCTTTCCAAGGTCTCCACCCACAGGCAGGCTTCCTGCCCCGCATAGGCATGCTTCTCTCAACTCTACCTCTGCTCTGAAAATCAAACTGTTCCAAGAAGCAAACTGGCGACAGCCCAGGAGAGTTTTCAGCAGAAATAGCTTACCTTAGGCACAAAAGAGACTTGCCGCAGGAGAAAGAGGGTCAGAGGTTTCCAAAGACTGGGGACTCGGACAGCCGGGGCTTGCATTTTGTAACTGATGTCAAAAAGCTGACTCTCATAGTTGCAGGGTTCATCGTGGGCGAGGCTGAAAAGCCGAAGGTGGAGGTGTGCCCGGAGGTCGGCTACAGGCCGGGAAGGAAACGCCCCCATTTGTTGTCCACGTGGTCAGTATTGCCAAAGGACCAGAGTCATCTTCAGGAAAGAACGCGTGCTGCCGCTGGAACTTCCCCATCCGCCATTCAGCGTTTGCATGATCGCGGGCCGTGACCCCGCCGTGGTGACCTTGCATTTCTGGTAGCCTCTGCCTGGGTAATCCAGGAGGGAGAAATGCAGGAGATAGACTGTGTGCCAGGTGCTGCTCATTTCCACAGGTTCTTAAAAAATGGGGGGGGGGCAGATGTGGCCCCAAAATGAAGGTGATTAAATAAGACATGGTTGTTTTGTTTCTAACAGGAAAAAAAGTGGGGGAAACAAACCATAACATTGGTTACAGAATCCTAGATCTGGACGGGGCCTCAGAGGCCAGATCACAAATTTAGAGCTGAAAGGGACCTTAGAAGCCACTAAGTCCAATCCCCTTATTTTACAGATGAGGAAACTGAGGCCCAGAGAGGTGACTTGCCCAGGGCCACACACAGAGGCAGGACTTAAACCCAGGTCCTCCCAACATCAAGTCCAACAGTCCATCAGTCAGTAAACATTTATTAGGTGCCTGCTATGTGCCAGGCACTGTGCCCAGGACTGGGGATACAGAGAAGGTAAAAAATGGACCCTGCTGTCAGGGAACTCACAGCTTAATGAGGGAGACGACATGCAATTCTATCTACTACGTCATTTTTGCTTTACAAATTTTTCTTGCACATTTTACAACCGAGATTCAGGAAAAGAATGACAGACTATGGTGTATCAGTGACTGCTGTGTCATTACTGGGAATTAAACAAGCATTTCTTAAGTACATATTATGTGTTTGACACTGCGCTAGGTACCTGGGACACGAGGACACAAATGAAATAGGCCCTGCCTTCAGGAAGCTTACTTTCTATGGGGAAACAGCATCTACACTTATTGGCTGTAAAACATTAAGGGAAGCAGCTACAGGGTCATTTGGGAAAGGGAGGGACTTGAAGCTGGGGGGAGGGGCAGCTAAGCAAAGTCTAATGTGGGAGGTGGACCTTTGAAAAGGGAGGCGCTGGAGCAGGCAGAGGAGAGATGGGAGAGCCTCTCTGACTGGGGGAGAGACCGTGCTAAGGCAGAGAGGCAGGAACGCAAAGGGATAGCAAAAGGTTCAATGTGATGCCAAGGGAGACCGACAGCCTGGAAATAACGACACACATGTAGATGACGGCGTTCAAAGGAAAAAGGTATCAAGAAAGTCAGTGATACTTACTAGCTGTGTGACCCTGGGCGAGTCACTTAACCCCAACTGCCTAAAAAGAAAAAAAAAAGTCAGTGATATTTGTGAAAACCCAGATGGATTTGGAAGGCAAAAATCCATTATTTATTGTTATTATAGTGTGAAAAATGATATTTTTTGACAATTTAAATCAGAAAGTAAGCTGTTGGAATTTTATGATTTTATTAAAAATTTACTCTAGATTTTGCTGGCTTCTTTATTTATCTACAGGAGCCTGGCCAATGAGGGCCCAGTCCCAAGAGTCGTGGCCACTCTGTGATCCTGTTTCTAGGTATACACAATGCAGGCCCCCGTTTTACTGTGGAACATGTGCTAGGACATTCTAGAACTCAGCAAACCTCTACCTTTCTACAAGAGGGCTGTCCCAGCTGCTTGTCCGCTCTCTCTGAAATAATTTCCCATTTACACTGCATCTATATCTTCCATGTACAAAACTGTTTGAGGATTGTCTCCCGCATTAGAATTGAGTTCCTTGAGGTCAGGGGCTGGGTTTTCGCCCTTCTTTGTATTCCTAATGTATATTACCATACTCAGCACATAGCAAGGGTTTCATAAATACTCTTTGACTGACTGGGTCCCCTGGTTCCCATCTACTTGGGCTGAGGGTGCATGTGTTCCCTGGTGGTGACTGAGGCAGGGGCTTGTGTAAGCCTCTAGGAGGGAAGAGAGGCAGCAGTAGTGAGGACAGCAGCCAGCCAGGCTACAACCTCATGAGATTTCCAAAGGCCCAAGGACTGGAGTCCATACTAGAGTTTACTGCTGCTACTTGGACCAATGTGCCAGTGAATCTCCATGTTTCTGCAAATAAGGAAGCACCTTTGTCCATCAGCTACACACATTCAGAATTGACCTTGGTGGGGAGGAGCGGAATGCTATGTAGAAACTCTTAAGTTTGAGCTTACCCAGGGTAGCTAGGTGGTACAGTGGATAGATAGAGCACTGGCCCTGAGGTCAGGAAGACCTGAGTTCAAATCCTGCCTCCGAGACTTACTAGCTGTGTGACCTTAGACAAGCCACTTAACCCCAATTGCCTTTAAAAAAAAAAAAGCAAGGAATGCTGAATGAAGTGAGCAGAACCAGGAAAACACTGTATACAATAACATTATTTGATGACCAACTTTGATAGACTTAGCTCTTCTCAGCAATGCAACGATCTAAGATAATTCCAAAAAACTCAAGATGGAAAATGCTATCCACATCTAGAGAAAGAACTATGGAGTCTGAATGCACATCAAAGGATACTATTTTTCCTTTTCTTTTTTTGTTGTTTTTTCTTTCTTGTGTTTTTTCCTTTGGTTCTAATTCTTCTTTACAACATCACTAATGTATAAATGTGTTTAATATGATTGTAAGTGTATGGCCTATATCAGATTACATGCCGTCTTGGGGAGGGAGGGAGGAGGGCAATGAGGGGGAGAAATTTTTTTTTTTGCTTTTAGGCAATGGGGGTTAAGTGACTTGCCCAGGGTCACACAGCTAGTAAGTGTCAAGTGTTTGGTCTGAGGCTGGATTTGAACTCAGGTCCTCCTGACTTCAGGGCCAGTGCTCTATCCACTGCGCTGCCTAGCTGCCCCGGGGAGAAAATTTAAAACTCGAAATCTTATAAAAGTGAATGTTGAACACTAACAATAAATGAATAAATATTTCTTAAAAATCAAGGAAGTTTGAGCCCACCCTCCTAGGAGGACTGAGGTGCTATTCTTGCCTGGGTTTGGAGTGTGTGTGTGTGTGGGGGGGTGTTTGTATTTCTGTTCTTGCTAAATTCTTTTCAGTAAATATCTCTTTGGTAAAAGCTAATTGATGTTAATTGATTAAACTGATAATGAGATTGGAGAGAACTACATGAAAAACACATTGCTAGCATTCCAAAGACACCCCAGCCCAACCCCTCAAGAGGAGCTATAGGCAGTCTTGCTCGAGTGAGGGAGGGGAGCCCAATTTATCAGTGTGAGAGGGAACTGAGATGAGGGCTTTGGTCTCTACACTTGTATTGGTGGAGGGCGTTAATTATGCAATCGTAAATTAAATGAATGAAACTAGGAAAAAAGTAGGCCATGGTAGATATTCACACAACTTCCATCACGCATGGGCAGCTAGGTGGTACAGTGGATAGACTACCAGGCCTTGGAGTCAGGAAGGTCTGAGTTCAAATCCAGCCTCAGACACTTACTAATGTCTGACCCTGGGCAAATCACTTAGCCCTGTTTGCCTCAATTTCCTTGTCTATAAAATGAGCTGGAGAAAGAAATGGCAAACTGCTCTATTATCTTTGCCAAGAAAACCCCACGTGGGGTCATGAAGAGTTGGACACGACTGAAACAACTGAACAACAAAAACTTCACGTTTGCTTCCACTGAACTCTGCTAAAGTGGACGGCTCTGCCTGTACCTATGGACGGTGCTGAAGAGTCAGATTATTGTAGCCTGGGCGTGAAAGGAGGAGTCAGGGAAGGGATCTTGAACAGCATTTCACTTGAGCTCTGGCCGGTCTGGCTACAGGAGGCTGCGGGGTTTCCCTTCACATAATCATGTCAGGTATGCGAAGCATCCTGATGGCTGTCTTTTCTACACCAGGACTTGGAGCCCAACAACTGGCGGCAGGAGTGAAGATGGAGGCTACCACATGCCTGAGGGAACTCCTGAAAGCTGATGTTAGACCCTGCTCAGCAGCCCTTGCCTTCAAAAATGCCAAGACTTTGCAAAACAACAAAGAATGCTCTTTCTCTTGTAAAAGCCTTCCATTAATGACAGCAGTTTGAGGATCAGTGTTATTTTAATGAAGTCAGACAGAGCAGATTGAAGAGCCCCATAAGCACTGTCTTACAATTGTACAGGGTGTCCCAAAAGTCTTGGTGCAGCTATAAGCTGCACTTCTAAATTATTAATTTATTATTATTATATATTATTAATTTCTAAATTATTAGTGTTGGTGCTTATTAAAGCAGTGACACCAACACTTTTGGGACATCTTGTGTGGTTGGATATTTAATTATCCAGACGCGAAACTGAACGGGAAAGGAGTGCTGGATCTGGCATCAGCAGAGACTTGGGTTCAAATTCTCACTTGCTATTTGTTACCAGTGTGACCTTGGGCAAGTCGCTTGACTTCTGACCTTTAGCTCTTCCTCTATAAAATAAAAGGATTGCACTAGATAGCTTCTAAATCCCTTCGAGAATTAGTTCTATGACAGGATCCTATTCATCATGGTAAAATGAAAGCAATGCTATCAATTAGTTAATAAACATTTATTAAATGCCTACTATATTCCAGGCACTGTCCATAGCACCTATCTCACAGGGTTGTCCTATGGGTCAAAAGTGATAATGGGGAGCTTTGCAAACTTGAAAGTGCTATATAAATGTCTGCTGTTTAATCCAATTAAACAATCATTTATTACTATATGCCAGTTATGCTCTAGGGATTGGGTATGTAAGGACAAGAAGACAGAAAGGAAAAGGACCCTGCCTTCAAGGAGAAGACATTCTATTGGGAGGGGAGGGCGGATGGTGGTGGTGATGGCAACATTTACGCAGAAAATTAAAGATGAAATATATTTTTAAAAGTTATTTTCTAGGTGAGGGTACCAGCAATTGGGGTAGGAATTCAGAAGGCCTTCCCAGAGGAAAGGACACTTGAGTTGAACTTTAAAGAAAGCTAGGGATTATGGGAGAGGAAGGTGTTGAGGGAGTGCATTCCCAGGAGGGCAGACAGAGGGACAGCAACGGCACATGAAACACCACATACCTGGAAGAGTATGCAGGCC